GGGTATTCTTCCGCTGTTATCCTGTCAAGCATTCTTTGTTAGTCCCTTGTCTTTCCCAACAGATAATTGTTAGAAAGCCGACTTAATGTAGGAAAACTACTTCCTAGTTGGATAAGGAAAGAAGTAGCGTAATTTGTTAATTGTTGCGGCAAAAACAAATGAAGTCCAAACTTGAGTTCAATAAGGAAAACTTGTGCGTAAGTTTTTTCCTGAGGCAGTATACTTAACAAGTTGAACTTAACAAGGTTTCGTGGAGGCAAATACAAAGTTGATTCAAACAAGGAATTGAAAAAGGTAGTAAAGAACTTGATCGAGCAGTTACAGTCCTACTTTTAACAGGACTTCAGCAAAGTTGATTTAAGAAACTATTCAAGGAAACTTGATGCAATTTTTTCTGAGGCGGTGGTTAACTGATTAACTGAAGCGTGTTTTCTTAATTAAAAAGGAAAAGGTTGCTGGAAGAGTTTATCTGTCTAAGTCAAATACAAAGTAGGAAATTACGAGAAATTCGATTTCGAGTATAATTTTGATTGAGGAAGTTGTTTTGAAGAAGACTTAGGTGAATAACTAAGTCTATAAAAAGGGCCATAGTTTTGCTTATGAAGATTGCACACTTACGTAGAGAGAAGATCAAAACACGATCAAGAGGTTTGAGAGATTTTTGAGATTTATTAGGAGTGTTGCCAATATAAGAGGAAAAAGTTGTAAGATTGTAATTAAGAGTTTTGATTACAGTCTTAGTTTTGTGAGTAGGAGTTGCTCGACAAGTTGTGGAACTTGAAGAACATTAAAAGATATAAAATCGGGGGTTTTGTATCTTTGGATAGCTAGGAATTAGAGTTTATAATTCCTTAGGTTACATAGTTTTGTAATTTGTTGTTGATGTTCAAATTTTAATGAAGTGGAGTTAAATCCTACAGAGGTGTAGGTCGTGGTTTTTACCCTTATGAGTTAGGTTTTTTACGATAAAATATTGTGTCATTATTTTATTTGCTTTACAAAACGTAATTACTGTAATCTGCAAAAAAACATATAGAATAAACCTGTTCCTTAGGCGAATTCGGGGGTCAGAATTCCAACATACTAATTACTAAATAAAAAAAAAATTAGGAGTTCTATTTATTGGTCCACTAGTGTATTTGTTTTTGAGGATTAACACAAATAAATTAATAATGAAATTTGTATTTACAAATCTAATCAAGACTCATTAGAGAATAAGAGTACTAAAATAATATTTAAAATTATGACCTCAATTAACTTTCTAAATATATTATAACTGACAGCTTTTGTTTAACAATGCAAAAATTAAATAACAATGCTCTAACAAAATTTGTCTTTTTTGTTTTGTAATTTTTTTCAAAAAAATAAAAAAAAATAATGTTATATATTATTGTACTTCTTCGTTGAAGCTTATAACTATTTTGACTATATTAATCTTTGATCTTTTCTTATAATGTTAATTTTCAACTTAATTTTTTGCTTTAACTAGTCAATTTTGTGTAAATATTTTTTTAAAATAATAATAATAATAATAATAATAATGTCATAATGCTTACATACTTTAATATTATAAAAGTATGCATTTCATTAATTAAGCTTGTTTGTAAAAGTTTATTAACAATTTAATTTTTATTCATTTATAAGGTTTATATTTATATGACATAAAAAATAACTTTTTTTACTATATCAAATGTTTTTAAGTGATATATTTAGTTAATGATTTTATTGATATAAAAGTCTAAGTTGAATGATTTTATTGATATAAAATAAAGTTTAATGACTTTGCTACATAAATTTCCAAAGTTGAGTGATCTTTTGAGATATTAACTCATCTTTAAAAGAATGCCAACTGTTAAATTTGTGGCATAATATATAAATATGTCTTTTGACTTATCTTTAAATTACATTTATGTCCTTCAACTTTGGATATGCACTAGTAAAACTTAAACTAATATAAAGTTTAACAAATAGACATGTATATCCTATATGACATTCTACATGTATCGTGCCACATATGACTCATTTTATATGTCACCCTTTTCTAAAATAGCTGAACCACAGTATATGTCACAAATTTATGCATAAATTGCCAACTTTTGCCCATTCCTTAATAGATTAATTAATTAATTTTAAAAATGTTTTTATTTTGACTAACCTAGAAAATCTACAAGTAACTAGTTTCATTCAGAGAGTAGTTCATTCATTCATTATCTATTTTCTCTATTTGCTACTTAATTCTATAAAATCTGATTTGAAATAAAATATCAACAAACAAATTAAATATGAACCAAAATTTTAGATAAAACAACAAACCAATATTTGTATTCAAATCTTCTTCAAGATGTGCCTCGGTGATTAAATCAAAAAACAAATGATTTGTCGAACTAGAATTAAAATTCATTTGTCATCTAATTTCATTATCAGTACCATCAGATTCAGCAGGAAAATTAATTGGAATTTGAATATTTTGTGATGTTCTTTTTAAAAATTTATACATAAAAATATATATATGTATAAAAAAAACATTTTACACAAAATATATAGAAAAATTGATGTGGGAAAAATTTGATTTTCTAAAATTTTTGGATCAAGTGGTAAAAAAATGTGGCTGCAAAAAATAAACTCTAAAATTTAATTAAATAGTGATCCAAATACATTTATACTTTTGAAATCTAACATGTTCATCAAAATTGTCTTAAGCAAACATTAAATAAAGGTAAAGGATAAAATTATTTCAAAAATGCAAATGAAAAAGATGACATATAATATGCGATGAAGAGAGTATAAATTTATCAGGATAGATAAAGCGATTTGATATATTAGTGAATAGGAACTCGATCATGACATTAATACTTTGAGTTTGAAGAAGCTTACAAATCCTTGATGAGCTTAGAAGTAGAAATGTGAGTCTCCTTTGCCTTTTCTGAATCTTACAAGTAGAAATGTGAGTCTCCTTTGCCTTTTCTGAATAGAAGGTATTTCATTTTATTTTATCTTTTTTTTTTCTCATTCGGTGTTCGGAGCCTACATTAGAGCTTCGACTAATTTTGAATCACGTACTGCAGAAGGTATTTCATTAGAAAAATAATAATTAGAGTAAATTTCGATTTAGATGTCCACTTTAAAAGTGACACACATATTTATACACCAATGATTATCATATGTTAGTTATAATTTTACTTTTATAGTATAACTCCTCAAGTATAATAAATGTATTTTCTGGTCCGAAAAACACTCATTACAATTTAGTAGTATTAGAAATTTTTAAAAATTAAATAAAGGAAAAATTATTTTCTTTTCTTGATTTATTAAAATAAACAAATAAATAGAGACAAATATAAAAAAAATATGAACAAGTAAATAAAAAAAATATAAAAAGAAATATGAACAAATAAATAAAGACAGATAAAAAAACATATAAACAAATAAATAGAGATCGAAAAAGTAACGTTCAATGAGTCTAATTTGATAAGAAAGAAGGGACCCACAAATTGCTTCCCACGCTAAGCCGACAACCTCAATTATTCTGTCGGATTCTAAAATCCCTAAAACATACAATCTCCCATTATTCTCACTTCTCCGTGGTTTGATTTTATTAAAGTTCCATTATTTTAAATAAATGTAATATAATTTTATATATTTTAGTAATTTTTAATTTTTAGCTGATGTATAC